CTTGCTTAACAGAAATGAAGGTGATGAGTTGGGGATTTGATCCAAGTGATTGAAATTAGATCCTTTTGTAAAAATATAATGTCTGACTTTTGATTTCTTTTATGCATAAATGAGGCAAAAAATGTACCTGTGCTGCAGAGAGAGCTTCTGAAATACAAAGGCATAGAATGGGTTCACTGAGTTACTTCAAGCTCCAATTTCATTGGAAGGCAGGGCGGTGTTACCCGTCCCCTTTGACTTCATTTACATTAGATGCTCTCTGTTTTTGAAGGTAGAAGAGAGGCTCACTTTCCGCAATGGTACTAAAAAAGAGATCAGTGCTGATAAAAGGATGACCATTATTACTTTTTTCAACTGCGATGTAAATAAGATCGTGCCAGATCAGAGAGTGGCAAGTAGCATTTGTTTTTCTTTAAGGAAAAATAAGTGATTAAGCGCCTTTTTTCAAACAAGTTTGTATCATTTATCTTGATATATCATTTCTGGGAGAAATTGGTGAGGAAGGGAGTTGGGTTCACAGCCCTGAGCAAAAAGGCTGCTCCACCTACAAGGCCAAGAATGGAAAGAGGTAAAGAATGGAAAGAGGTGGAGGTAACAGTCATAAAGGGACAATAGGGGAGTTGGCCAAGCAGATCAAAGGAAACTGAAAGAAAGCAAAGTGCAGGGGCAGCCTTCTGAAGAAAAGACTGTTTTTCATACATTTTAGGGTAGGGAGCACGGGGGGTTCTTCACTCTTGGCATTATGTAAATATAAATAGTTAATAAGTGTGAGATAGAGTGGATATGAGTAAGGCCTTGGCAGGAATGTGAATATTTTAAATTAACAGTGTGTGGAAAGGATCTAGAGCTCCCATCCATGGGGAGGTGGGAGGATCACTCTCATGTATGCCCTGTCTTGCTCTGTGCTACAGAAGAAAGTAGCAATATCTAGACAGAGACAAAAGGGGGGGGATAAGAGGAAAGAATTGAAAAGCAAAGAGAGATATTTATATAGATGGTAGATATGGAAAATAACCTTGAAATGACTTTTTCAAGTTGGCTTATTTATAAGCACATTGTTATGGTTGAATCTGCTTATGCAAATATTGTGAGCGTGCTGCAAACAGTTTGCAGTTCTTCCAGATTTATTATTATGCAGATGCACAGGCAACTCATACTGCTTATCCAGGTGGCCTGGAGGTGCTGCTGTTCCCTAATAATCAGATAGGTATGCAAAAGCTCATAAAAGTGAACTATATGTACAGGAAGATTTTTATTATGAAAGTGGTGTATGAGTCCAACTCCAGAAGATTGTTGTTTGTTTGTTTGTTTGTTTTTCTTAATTTGCTTTGCCTTTGCATTTGGCTTTCAGTATGGTCCATCACTTTACTCTCTTTTTCCTCTGACAAAGAAAGATAATAATAAAGTGTAAATGCATCTCTTCTATTTTTTACTATCTGATTATTTGATTTTTTAATTTCTTTAGCAGTATCATTTCTAAATATCTAAATACATTCCAATGTCTAAAGAAAATTGGATCTAGTTCTGTGTAAAGCATTTTGAAAGAATTCTAAACAGATTTTTTACATCTTGTATTCAACAGAAAAACATTATCCCGATGGCACACAAGAAATCGTTTTCCCAGATCACACAATGAAATGACTCTATAGTGATGGATCTGAGGAAACTTATTTCCCACATAGTACAGTACTAAAAGCAGAAAAGTCTCCTGTTAAAGACAAGAACCATGCACTGGGCATGGGTTCAACGATACCGATGTAAAACTGGTTAATTCTGCATGACTGGTAAATTCACAGGTGAAAGGAGAAGGGATTTGGAAGATAACAAGGGTTTTGTTACAATGAGGAACTGAAAATTGTTCACTTCCACCTTGAATAACAGGTGACCTTTATCGTTGGCAAAATGACTGAAATATTCCTCATTTAGTTCCATGTAACTTTACATTTAGTCTGTACATCTGGCCAGGGCTGCAGAGTAACTTGCAAGAAAAACAAGAGCCAGTTGTCTGTGCGAACAGTGTAGGTACTGAAGGACTCGGGATGACGACTCCTGGGCTCTGTTCTGAGATTTTTGGCTCACCTTCTCTTCACTGGCAAGATATTTCAAATGTTGTCTCTCTATTCCTTGTTGTAAAATAAAGACAAGTAACAGTAGGACAGGCTAACACATGCCTCTTCCATGTTTAGTGAACATACTGTTGTAAAAGGGGTTTCCTGTTTGCAAAATGGCTTGAGATCCCTGCATGAAGAATTCATATAAAATGCAGATCCCATCATCCATAGGGTGGATAATGCCATTAGGTATTATCCTATGTACAAAAGCACCTTTGTATTGAAATAATATTGTGATACTTGATCTGTAATGATACCCCATGTAAACTCTGAAGTGAATTATAACCTGTGGAAGTTTCCACTTTTATTGTGTCATATTAGACAGCAGCTTAGTAACATAGGTTAATAACAGACAATGCCTTCTGATCAATTTACTTGTGACTATTGCTTTCAGGAATGGAGATAAAACAGTTGTATTCAGTAATGGCCAGAAGGAGATTCACACTGCAGTTCAAGAGGAGGGAGTACCCAGGTGGAACTGTAAAGACCGTGTACTGCAGTGGCAGACAGTAAACCAAGTACTCCTCTGGACGGGTTCGAGTTAAAGATGAGGAGGGTAATATTATCCTAGATAAGATGTGATTCCTCCCCTCTAAGGGCTGCACTGTACGTAAGTGGTTCAACCCATTTTCTCTGGGGTATTTAATCTTTCTCCTCTAAACATGTATGTCAGTTTATAAGACTCTTTCCTTACACCTCTGACGCTTTTCTGTTCCTGTTAATTAAGATTAGAACATGTGCAATAGTGAAAACCACTATTTCTATTGAAATAAACTAAGGATAGTACTCCTAATTGTGTTCTATACAAATTATTATCATATGCCACCAATAAAAATATATAAATAGTTTAACAGATGGAGACTAACTTATCTCTGTGTCCTGGGGCTATGGAGGAAGAGGAAGGATTAAAAGGGCCATGACAACGATCAGGGACTAAAGTACCTGCAATATCAGGAGAGGCAAGAGAGCTGGGGCTCTCAGACCTAGAGAAGGCTCAGTGGGTCTTATCAATATGTATACATACCTGATGAGAGGGAATAAAGATGGAGATCCTCAGCAATTCTGTGATTAAAAGGCTGAATATCAGGTTATTGTGCCTAGATATAAGGCTTGTGAAAATGTGTGGAATCTGTACAGCTGAAATTTACTTCGGTTCAGTGACTGGTGCTTATTTTGGAAATAACCTTACTTGGATGAAATGTCTCCTGAGCAAGACTTGAAAGAAATGCAGTTATGCTGTCTTTCTGCAACATTAAAATAAATGCCCATAGTACCTCTCATCAAAGTGTTTATTTCATGATACTGATCACATTTTCCCTTGATTTCCTGTTAGTTACAGAAGTGACTTCAAATAGGGATCACAGCATAAGAACCTCTGCTACAAAGCTTCTTTGGAGTAAAACATTCCAGCATGCATCAAACCTTAGCAGGAGCTGTGTGTTAGGCCAAAACCTGAGCAGTTGACTGAACAGTAACCCCTCTAGATCTCCCTCCTAACCCAAATTATCAAGTAATGATACGATCCTAATCTAAGAATTCTGCCTAGTACACTTGAAAACAAACTGTAATGTTTATTCCATCCTGGTCATTATTCCAGATGAAACAGATGCTGCTTCTTTCTCCAGAAGTCTTTCCTCGGACCTCCTTTGTGTTGCTTTGTTTTTTAATTAACCTCTCCCACTACTGCCTCTATTCTTCCAGTAGAGTAAAAATATTTCTGGTCAGTAAATCTCTACAGCTTCAAGGCTCTTTGGATTGCATTTAATTCCTAGGGGGATTAATCATTTATCAGATGCTACTTTCAACTGCCTTCCCAGTAGACTGCCTGTCCATCATCTGTCTTGAATTCTTCCAAAGCACTGAAGCATTTCCCCTGTAGAGCTCAGCTCATTACCTGCCCAGTGACTGAGAAGACCAATTATCTCCTCATGCCCTTCAGATTCCTGCAACAACAAACACACTTTCAAAGCATGCTGGTTTAGCTTCTTCTCATACCTATAGTGCAAAATAATTGCAAGATTATGGAATTGCTCTTTCTTTTCTTCGGTTTCCAGTGGACCAGACTACCAACAAATCACCATTCAAACTACAGATCAACTTTGGAAGAAATAGATTGAATAGAGAAGGCAGTGTTGCTAATATTGATTATAAACATGATGTAGTTTAGGAGTTATTATGTTCTAAACATCCATGTAGTTTGATGTCAGTTGGTGTTATAATAAAATTTCAGTTTTTCCTTTGTTCCTTTATAACAAAGGAACAATTTATAAACTTGTGCTTTTTACTACTGCAACGTTCATTTTGTGTTTTGTAAAAGGAAAAATTAAAAAAAAAAAAAATCCAAGAGAACATTCTTCTCTGTGTTTCACTAAGAATTTTAGTTAAGTGCTGCTTTATTCTAACTAAAACAAATCTATGTTTTTGTGTTTTGCTTTTTTTTTTTTTTTCTCAATCATCATAAAAACAGTCAACGTGATTAATGTTTTCAGGTTTTCAGATTGGTTGGGAAAATAGATGTTTCTGAAGGACAAGTGCTTTTATTCCCAGGAATTCCTTTTGACAAAAGGTCCCTGTTCTTCAGTTAATATTGCTGACATCCTCTTTGTTTCTACAGTAGTACACAAACTTGCCTTGTTATTTGCCTACTGTTGTTTGTTTTACACTTGTGTACTTCGCAAAAGCCAGCTTACTATGATTTTTGTTCTGGAAGGTGTATAGTGAGCATACTTCTGTGAACCTTCAGGAAGACAGAATATGGTTGGGAAACCACATTTTTCTCCATAGGTTTTCTGTCATTAGATGAAGCATGCTATTTAGCCTCAATTTTGAGACAAATTTATAATGTACTGTAGATAACTTCTGAACAGAGTTACTTCCCTGTCAGACAGCTGGGGGCAGCAAAGGTGTACAATGGAAGCACAGTAATTTGACGATCTCAAATGCTTCAGTTCAGTGTTAGTATTTTTCCATGCTCAGTTGATCAGTTTTATTGGAAGCAAAACAAAGCAGACTAACTGCTGTACCCCTCAAGTGGCTAATTCAGAGTCTGTGAGACAGAGATTTGATTCGGTCTTCTAACCAGGATACTTGCACTTTATAAACTGCCCTCCATTATCAAATTTCTCTCTTACCTTGGGAAGCCTATTTTTTTCTTACTCATGCAGTCTACAAGGCCTTGTTTATTAAGAGTTTATCTGAAAAAAATACTGGAGCAGTATATATATATTTAAACTTACTTTCCATAAGCATTTCTACAGAGTCCTACAGGTCATAAAATGAAAGTTGTTTCATGCTGTTGTTTCATACAATGCAAAATTAACCTGTAAAAATGAATGTCAGGAAGCTCACTGGGTTGTTCAAAAATGAGATTGTTTTGTGTCATTCATATCATGTTCCCCTTTGTAAACTGAAGGCATGCTGAATGACCCCCCGGTGTAAACTGATCAGCTTTTTCAAATCATAAGGCACTCTTAGTCAAGAAAAGGAAATAAGCAAAGATCTGTGATATAATAATAAACAAAGACTGGCATCTCTGAGGATGTTTTGAGAAATGTAATTCTCTGTTTTTATTTGTTGATTACTTTAAAGGATTATTCAGTGCTTTCATTTTCAAAAATAATTTCTGATGGTAATTGCTAAATTACAACTTTTAAATTGTGTATGGTTTTGAGGTCTCTCTCTTTCTAAAACAATTTCAGTATATATCTACCTCCTTCAAGTTAAAGATGTCATTTATGGTATGTCTATATAACCTAAAGTCATGAAATTAAACAGAAGTTAAATAGCCTACCCTCTTCTTTGTATTCTGCTGTTTTGATAGCAACTGTTTGCTCACTAATTTGTTTATTTCCTTTATGATGCTCTTTACATCTGTCCCATCCCTGGAAGCTTGAAGTGCAGCTTCATTGAAAGGAAAAATAAGGACAAAGTCTCCTACCCGGCGGATAGGCCTCTGGTCTTTATCTGAGAGGAAATAGGGATGTGTGCTTATCTTGCAGTTGCGGAAATCAGGTGTAGGTAACCAGTGGTTGAGCTGGGCAGAACTGCATGGGGAATGTACAGCTGGGAGTTTGTTTTTATCTTCATTTTTTGCTTGTGAGGATGTTTTTGGCCTGTTCATCTTTTCCCGCAGCTGGGAAGTCAGTGTTTTCCTTGGATGTGCTCTGACAGTTTTCTTGGTCAGGGAAGCCACCTTATGAATTGATCCTCTTGCAGCCTTCGGGGCAGGTTGTACTGGAGAAGCAGAATTAGATGTAGCCACTTTCCGGCAAGTGAGTAAGCCAGGAGCCTCCTCTGGGGTGCTTGGACCAGCTGTTCTCCAGGGCACCCGCCTTCTGACAGCTTTTGACCCAGCCATTTCATTCTGCCTGAGAGTGTCAATCTCCTTGTAGTTCAGCAGTTCAACAATATCATGAAGAAGTCTTCTTTTCACAGTGTCATCAATGGAACAGTCTAAGCACAAGGCTGGATTGTAGTTGACTTCTAAAAGCCACGGCTTGAATTTGTCATCAATCAGGATGTCAAAGCCAAAGAGCTCAAAGCAATTGGAAGCCACTGGTAAGGGGGTTACAGCAAGCAAGGTGAGAATCACTATGTTATTGATCTTCTGCCACAGAAGCAGGTCATCAACCCCAAAAATTCGAAGGTAAGAACGAAATTTGCTGAATGTCCACTTGCAGCCACAGCCAATCCCTTCTTTATATTTTTTATACGAAGCCCCGTATTTGTTGATGCTGGTGTTCGTTAGGTGGGCATAGACATTGTCCAGAGAACCAAGGTCAAACTTCTCGGTCGCAAACCTCACCAGTCCTTCTTCGTAAGTGTAAATGGTAAGGGGACAAAAACTGGTGACACACACATAGAGGCGAAGATCCAGTTTATACCCTGAAATGAGTAAGGGGTTGCTAATGTACTTCTGCACAATGACTGTACAGTCATATACCAAGTCTTTAATGTCTTGGAAAATGAGTATGCCCCTTCCACGGGAGAGATCCACAGGCTTGCAAATCCAGTAGCTGGGTCTTCTGCCTACTGACTGTCTCTCCTTGCTGTATTCAGCTATAAATTTGACATAGTCATTGGGCATAATGAATGCCACTGGACTAAATTCATACAGAGCTGATCCATATGCCCCTTTCATACGTTTCAGATTCCTTGCCAAATAATCTTTTCTGGTGATTCTGACAGCTTCTGGGTAGTGGTTGAGTCTCTGCCACGGTTTGATGCTGTGGTGGTCTGTCATACGAAAAGGTGAGTTCCGCCAGTATAAGTTCCAGTCTGTGTCATCTTGCTCCTTTTGATCAAATTCAGTCCAACCACGTTCCAGTAAAACCTCACGGACTATTGCAGGGGCATTCTCATGGAGACGGAACACAAGAGGCTTCAAGATATCTTGTGTCTCAGTCTCATAGTCATCTGCCATCACTTCCATCTTACTAGCTGAAAGAAAACAGAATTATCAGGAAGGAAACAATGCCACAGATTGTGCTAGCAGTCATCAGCCTCACTGTATTCTTAATGCATGTCACTCTGTGTGTTCTTAAAGCATGTCAACCCTGTGTTTCCATGGTCCACTAATGAGAAGTCAGCTGTGTTTAAGCTGAAACATATGTTAGAAGGGCATCAATTCCAGATAGCTGGTAAGGGAGCACAAAGCACTGACTGCTGAAAAGTTGGATGTCTCCATTCTAGTATTTACTCCTTCTTAGAGGTAACCTACTACAGTAGTAACTGTCCTAAAACCTTTGTAATTCATGGATGTTTTCTTTTTTTTTTTCAGTTGCCTTCAGTCTAATGGCCACAACTTTGCCTAACAAGACTTGTTTTGCACTGCTGCATTGCTGAACCTTCCAGCTAACACATCACATTGCCCTGAACAAGCTTCCCTTTGTAAGAATTACAAAGCCAAATGCATGCTATCAGGAAGCAGTAGGGAAAACTCCCTTCAAATGCTTCAAACTTCCTTCAGATGCTTCAAACTTCAATTTATTTTTTTTTCCTCTTTTGGAATATGCAGAATCTAGCTTGCTGATAATCTGCTGCTATTCCTACAGAGAGGTACTCCCCAGTTCCTGAAGACCTGGTCCTATGAACCTGTAGATTTGAGTGTTGCTGGTTTAATTTCCTGAAACCCTACTAAGTTGCTCCCTAAAGATTAGCCTCTATGTTTGAAGGGGAGGACGTCTTGGATGACAGCAGAGTGTTTGTGTTGAGAACCATTCTGACACAGCATTAACATACTGACCTTTCCCTTCACTCAGAAAGTGCAAGCAACAGAAATACCAAATCAGTGGGACATATCCTAAATAAAGCTCCTTCACATCATATTATCAGGGGTGACATCCTTATTCTTTCTTTTCAGGTTGAGAATCTTCACCCTGGAGATCTAGACTCCAGAAAGAAAATATCCTCTTACTTCCAAACCACTACAGAAACTAAGGGCACATGTCACACCTGGAAGTATTCAATGCAATATACAGCTGAGTTGGCCACCGATGCTTTCCTGTGGAAAATTTTCAATTGTCAAAACTGAGAGCTTTTTCCCTCAGAAGAAAAGTAATCTTTGCCATATATATATGTGTATGTGTGTATATATATATAAGTATATATATATATATATGTATAAGTATGTGTATATATATATATATATATATAAAATCTGAATTTTCTTTCAAGTTGTCAGAATATCTCATTTCCATTTTTTAAAAGATCCAGATTTGAGAGTTCTGGGCAGACCATAGTCAATTTTTTAGTGAGAGCTTTCCTTGGGTGAGGTGTTTGTAGAGAACAGGAAAGAAAACGTGGTAAGTACTGCAGTGCAGTCACAATGCAATAGAACTTACATAAAAGATCACAAAAGAAAAAGTAGTCTTGCTGCATCTCTTACAGTCAGTGCTTTGTTTCAGATCCCACAAAGTTGGGGGTTTGCTGCTAAGGTTGTACACAAACCTTATGAGGTGGCATGGTGGTCCCAGGAAAACTTTGCTATTTTTGCTTCCACTTTCTTTCCTGGGAGATTTCTTTGCTTCCTGCTTATTAAACAGCAGTATGTTACATGCTAAATGTGTGTGTGTATATAAATGTAAAACTAAGTAAGTTTTCTACTAGTTGGTTCGAATCATTTGGAAAAGGTTATTAAATTAAGAAAGAAAAAAGAAGTAACTGAAAGTAGCCGTGCTAAGCATCTGAATGAGTCAGCTTAGGACTGCAGTTAGCAATGCAGAGAAGACAAAGCTAAGTGTTGCTATTAGCAGTGTTTCACTGAAAGGTACTGTTGTACATGAATCCAGTGCAAGGTAAACTGTGCTATCATGGTCTCTGCTAGGTAATTATAAATTAGGCTGTTAGCAGTGTCTGAACGATAAAACCTTCTTTGTTGATTTTTCATGTCAGTTTGTATTAATGGCACATCTTACATACCTCTGGTGTTCAGGGAATAGTTTACTGGAAATTGTCTCACCAAGCCTGGATATAACAAAAGTAAGCCTCAGATTTCCAGATAATTAAGTACAAAGAAAACAAGATATTTTAACCCACAAAGAACATTTATCTGCCTTTAAAAAAGTTGTACCACTTATAAACAGAAGCTCTTGAAGTGATATTATAAAATTACCTCTGAGTTTACGCATCAATCTAAATGAACAAATGCAAATTTCACTCCTGTGCTCTATACAGACGTGTGCCTGGATGAACACACATCTCTTCATTCGGTGGAGCTCTGCCTCTTTTCCCAGAGGGCTCTGTTTTTGGCCCAATCTTTAATAACTTGGAAATCCACCCGTGTATTTACAGACATTCTTCCACAAAGCAGACATTGCTGCAGCTGCCTGTGGCCACACCGAAGTCTAACACCTACCCAGTGTCACTGCAGAGGGGCACCCAGGAATGGTGATGCTCCCCTCGGAACCAGGGTTCGCCGCTGTGACCTCACTGTTCCAGCAGAGGTGTGTGGTGGCCCTGGTGCTGCAGGGCAGCCCAAGTACACATACCTGTGTAAACCAAGGCTTCGTGTCCGCCCTGGCTGCTTACAACAATTTATGTCACCGTTGCTCATCTTTATACCTATGGGAGGCAGATTTTTTGGAAACATGATCCTTAATGGGTAGGCATTAAAACTGTTTGTTTGCGGAGTTAATGTGGAATGTCTCTGCGTAATTAAGCTCAGCAGACTGCACAGTATTAAAGGCTGTATTGAAGTCTTTGAATGCTCAGGGTCACAGACCATAACACGGGCCTCAGAGCTGCCTGCCTTGGGCTTTCAATTTGGAAATAACCATTATAATTATTCTTACTGGTCACAATTTTTGGTAAATAGACATGTTTCAAGGCCAGAAAGGATACCAGCCCTTCCAGCTTCATCCCGTCCGCCCCTGGCTACACATCTCATCCCTTTACAGACCGCAAGCGTCGGACTGACAAGGTCACGTTCCCTACACCCAGGCACCCTGATGGCACAAAATCTGCCAGCGGTGATCCCACCATCGGTGCACAGGGACACGACAGAGGGGCACGCACCACGCCTGGCTACATCGCTACAGCATTTCAACCCGTGGGCTCTGCCGACCGCCCGGGGTGCGGCAGCGCTCCCTGCCAGCCTCGCCTCTCCCCGCGGGGCTCCCCGCCCGGAGCTGCTCACCCACCTCACCCCGGGGCCGCTCCCTGCCTCCCGGCCGCTCCATGGCGGTGGGGCCGGGGCCGGGGCAGGCAGGGCCGGCGGGCGGCCGCCGCCGTTGCTTGGCAATGGGGAAGGGCGGGCAGCCGCCCCGCCGCCATGTCGGGGTCCTGGCGTAGCCGTGTCCTCCCGCCCCTGGCTTTTGTCCCGGCGCGAGCGGATTGCAATTACTGTATCAATATTAATTACTTGAATCTGACTGTCTTAGGTGTCGGGTGGTGCCGTAAGGCATGGGCTGCCCAACACCTGTCTCCTCAGCAGAGGTCTGGGTGTGGCAGCCTCAGGCTGTGAGCTCTCTGGGGAGAATGGCTGGGCTCACTCCATGTCCTCATTGTCCCATTGACCCTCCTCCTACACCTCTAGGGAACCACAGTTCAGACTGAGAGCACCAGGGAGCACTTTCAGGAGATGGCCATCACCAGCCTTCGTCACCCCTTGCCTGTAATGCTCCTGAAGGTTTCAGACACGTGGCTGGGGAGGGACCCATCCTGGAGCAAGTTCAAACCCCAATGCCCGTGTCCACTGAGTTGGCTACACCTGCTGCCACGAGCCTCACATAGTCAAAGGCAGACAGTTAAAAGCTATTGCTTCATTACAGGCCAAACATGGTTGTGGCTGTGGGAGAGATCAGAGCATGTGTGGTAGTGCAACATGGGGTAAAGAAGGGTGAATCCACCTGTGCCCTGCTGGGGACTCAGGCAGTCCCCCTGAGCCAAGAAGGCAGAGGCCTCAACCATCATTTTGTTTCTGGCGTTTCAGTGTTGAGGTGTTCCTAGATGAACTTGTGCCTGAGGTTGGTTTGGAACACTATGCAGCAAAATCCCTGTGGCACGTTTATTCTGTGATATCATTGCTAAACTTTTACTGCAGACACAGCTGTCTGCTGAGCAAAGACAAGTTGATGGACTTGGTGCATTTTGTGGTGTTCAGATAAAAACTATATATATATATATCCAGCTTATACCATAATGCTATTTACAGCAAGTGTTTACAAAACACAGGGTGAGAACAATACACATCTTTATAAATAGTGGTTCCATGATCATAGATCATAGATATTATTATATTATATATGTTCTTTGCAATCAGCTGAGCAACTCCAGGTGCTGTCATCTTCTGACACTGCATGTAGGATTTGCAGGTTTGTTTATAAACCTGTAGTATCAGGTCTAATCCACAAATACAAATACATGAAAACTTCAAGAGTCTTGTTTACATTTATTAAGACTTTATTAATTAAAAAAAAAAAAAAAAAAATAGAAAATTAGTTGGTCACCTGAAAGGGTGAAGTCAGATAATCTTCCTTTATAAGGCTGAAATGTCAAAAAAAAAAAAAAAAATCCAAGACATTTGTAGTATAGTGGCTTTGACATCTGTTCCTTTATCCTCTTTCCAACAGTACCTGTTGGAACACCCATGGAGACATGCCTTTAGGAGATGACCTCAATTACTGTGATGCTGTTGGGTTACATCTTTGTTTCCTGGGTGCAAGGTCCTACATTTTCCTTTTTTGTAGCAGCAGGTGTCCCAGGGGAGCTCTTAGTTTCCAGGTATTCCACCACTCCATACGTGACCATAGACAACACAAGCACAGCCAGTAAAATGTATAGCTTGATGTAGACTTGCAATGTGGTGCTGTAACCAAAGGCAATAACAAATCCACACGATTCCCACAGACGGTAATTTGCAAAGGCAGCCTCCTTGTGTTTCTCAAATAAAACACCATAGAGTCCTGAAATCAAGGAGATGAAGCTTGTGAAGGTTAAATTTGAAACAAATATTTTCTGCAACAGGGATATATAGGCCATGAGAGGGAAAATAAACAAATGACAGAAGAAGGAAAATTGAGGCTTTGTCTTAGACCATTTTTTTACTCATATGAAATGTAACAAGAAGTGAAAGAGCTAAAATGACAAAGTAGCAAAAATCAGAGAAAAGGGGGAAAGAAAATGAGAGGAAGGAAGAAAGGATGTGTGTTATTGAAGTGAGGTAGCAGGAAGTTTGTTTTTCAAATGATAGCCAGAAGAGTGACGGTTTGTAGACCAAGTCCTTAAATGCTTTCATATTCCCTGGAAAGCTCCCACTGAGCTTGGTCAGCTGCACACCCACAGCTGGGATTCAGGCAGGGATTTCTGCCTCCAGCTCTGACTGGTCAGGCACCCAGGGAAGAGGAGAGGACTTGATTTCCTCTGGGTGCTGAGCTAGCATCAGTGGTGATAAAGAAGCAAGCATTTCCATTGAGTCAGCTGTGGTGAGCAGGAAGGAATATGATGAACCTTGACTCTTCTCATCCACTTCTGTATCTAAGAACACATATGTTTGGAATATGCACATTCAGCCAAAAGACAAAGAGTACAAAGTTCTCTAGAATTCTGGATAGGCTCAACTAACCTTTCAGCTTTGTTACCCTGGGGGAGACATCATCTGCATGTAAAAAACTCACTGCTTCCTGATGGCTACAAGATGACATTAACTGATTGTTTCAATTTACATGTGATGGAAAAGTTGGATAAGTGCACTGTAAGAGGTACTTAGTTCATTAAACTGTCTGAATTATTTGATAATCCTTCATAGTTTTGCCTAATAAATGAGCAAGTACAAGTTGTTCATGTAACAGAGACTTTGCGAATATGTCCTGTGTTTTCTTCTGAAATGGGATTTATGTATACATGGCAAACAGCAGATATATATGGCATACAGCAAACAGCATGGCAAACAGCAGATTAGTGGGAAGGGTTTAATATAGGACAGTTTCTAGTGCCATGACATTTCTACGTGTAAAGATTCTGGGTTTCAGCTGGCACCTCTTTTCCCTTCTTATGAAGCCTTCATTTTGGATCAAAGCAATGGGAGAATTGAGTGGGAAGCTATAGTCTGAAGTTCAACTGTGGGAAGTGTCAACTTGTCAGGGAGGTTCTAGTTTCCTGGATGCATATAAGCTATCAGCTATCAGTTATCAAGGAGCACAAGTTTTTTCTTGAACCTAAACATTTATCTGTATGACAAACACTGCTGAGGGCAGCATGGCATGAGTTGCCTGGCTGAAGCTGGGCTGGCTGAGTGCAGAGGCCACTAGGTCTGAATTCTTGCTGGCAGCCACAAGCCCCCATTTTCATGGAAATATCCATTCTGCTTGCCACTGCCTGCTTTCCCACTCCTACAACATCTTCCCCTTTCTCTGGTACTGTTAGGCATGGATATGTAAGAGGACTGCTGGAAATCATTTGAATCCAGGTTTATAAACTTTCCAGACTGATTCACATCCTTTCTAAAGGCACACATCAGGCTGGAGCTTTATTTTTCTGTGGTCTACCTGATAGCTCTGTGCTGCACAGTTGTTTGTGCCCGCAGTGCAGTTATTGCCAGGAAGGTGATAACAGCAGCTGTGTTCAGTTTAGATAAGAGAGGGCACTACACTCTCTGAAACGAAGCAGCTTTCACTGCAAATAAATGAGTGCACACACGTACACAAACATATTAGGAAACCTTTACAAGATGAAGTGACTCATCTATTGTTTGCCTATATATCCTCTAGGGGGAACTCCAGCATTAACTATCCACAGCAGGCCAAAGTAAACCATCTCTCATTACCATAAAATGCCCGAGGTATGCAGCACAACGCCTTTGTATGTATTCAGTGGTTAATCTACTGAGACGGAAGGGGCATTCATAGGATCTTGCCTGAGGAAGCACCACAGATCTTAGTTCCTAATGCTATTTTAGAGGTCTTAGTCTCACCTCATAGCCTTTGGAGTCACAAATTTCTCATATGATGTTAATGCTGTTTGCCCTGTATAAAACTAATGAAGGGATGAAGAGATTTTGTCCTAAATGGGCATGTCAAACTGCAGATCCTGTTCCGGGTTGCAGCATAATGCAGTAATGTCACTGCACAGTCTGCTGTCATCACTGTGACAATGCAAACCTTGTGCACTTTTATTACTAGAAGCTGCCAATAAGCAAAAGAAACAGATACTGTACAAACATAAGAACATTTGTGTGTTATTATTTCCCAGTTAGCAACAAATGTGAAATTATTGTAAGTATCCAGCAGGAATCTGGGAATGTAGATGACCTATCACAGTGCTGTAATAGGGGTCAGACTTGTGTCAGCACTGCAGGGCTCACTAGCAATGAAGAGTCATCCACCATTTGTGCCTTGTCTGGGGGTTGGGAACTGCAGCCACCTCCCAGCCTTGGTCTCCGACACTGAGGTCCTCTGCACTATCCCTTTTCCTAGTGAGGGCACCAGGTCACCAGGTACCCCTTCCTCAGGCATAGAGACCTTACTGAGGTGTCCTCAAGGGAGTCAAATGTCTGAGGGCAAGGCTTACTGGGAAGGTCCCGTATCACAGTGGAAGATTTAAAATCCTGTTTCTCAAGAGTGTTGGGAAGGAGATAGATGAACAGCCAGGGAGACTGTGGGCAGAAGCAGCAGGAAATGAATGAACAGCTTTTCTTCAGAGAGGGTGTATTATCACTGATGCTCTCCTTTCGTGATCCTGAATAATGAGAGCACTGATTTAAAACTGTGCCAAAGTCAAAGGCACAAGGCTGTGGGTTGAGATGAGAGAAGCTGAGAGGGTGTCATTTGATTCATGTACCAGCTCTGCTCCATGCAATATGACCTGGAGCAACTGGAAGGACAAGGAAGAAGTCAGACTGGTCAGTTCTTTGTTTGCTACGCACACTGGGAAGGCGATTGCTGTAAGTGCCAGGCAAAGGGCTGTGGTGATTTCCTTCTGGATCTGTAGGAGGAACATACTGGTTTGTCCAGTGAGCAAAATCAAATCATCATCTACTGAAGCAACCAGAGGGAGGGAGGCCCAGACACACGTGCTGATGTGGGCCAAGCGAGCTAGTTCTGTCACCTGTATATTCCTACAGTATCTGCCAAGTATGAATCTGAGGAAAATAATATGAATAAAGAATCAAAATATGGGAGCAGGTGGGAGAGGATTTAACTGTATCTTGCGGACACAGGCTATGGCATTGGCTTAAAATGACTGCGACTGACAGACATTAGCAGGCTGTACTTCAAGGCATCAGAGACTATGGCTCTTTCTTGCCCCCTCCAGCATTTTGTAGTCTTTCTTCAGTCTCTAGAAGAGCACTTCCTCTAGTTTTGGTGAGGGATGAATTTCAAGGATC